TCTCAACCCGTGGGAGTTGCATTCTTTTGATTCTCCTCTCCGTCCCTCCGAGAGCAGGGGGAGGGCAAGAAAGGGGGGGAAGTGAGCGAACGAATTACCTGACTGGGTTTAAACCACAACAGTTCTTTTTGGCGCCCAACGTGGGGCACGAAGGGTTGAGATAACGACAGATTTGACTGGATTAATAGTCACTCGTCACAATGCTGATTTATTGGGTATCAGAGTTGTTCTTCTTGATCTCACAGCTTCAGACCGTTGTAACTTACGTAGAGCCAGTATTTGCTGTGATAGTGTTTATCAAGTGTGGGGCCTGGGCTAAGGTTCTTGTCTCACTGTGCTTTATGGCAATGGCTTGTAATACGGGTGGGCTCCAGCAGCAGGGCGGGACAGACGTGGCCGTGGACTTGTACCTGGCCGTCCGGCTGCTCTTCACCGGCCTGGCCCTCACCCTACTCTCCATCTTCGTGAGGCTGCGGGGAACTGAGGGGGAGCGGTCCCGGGAGCCGGCGGCTGCTGAAGCGGCCCGGGAGAGCGGCCCCGGGGACCAAGCGGCGGCGGGAGCGGGGCCGGAGGCCGCGAGGGGACGGCTGCCGGTGGAGGAGGTCGGGGCGGTCGAGGAGAGGAAGGAGGCGGCTGCCGAGCAGAGGAAGAAGGCGGCGGAGGAGCCGAGCCCCGCGGAAGAGCCCAGCCCCGCGGAGGAGCCCAGCTCCGCGACGGCCGAGAGCATTCCCCGGCAGCCACCCGCCGAGCCCCGGGAGGATGCAGGAGACCACGCAGCACTTCCCAGCAAGGCAGAGGAGGAAGAGCTGGACTCAGGAAAAGAGAAGCTGGCAGTGGGAGAGCCGGCAAGCACAGCAGCTACACCAGCCCCAGTGACAAGCACAGCAGCATCAACTGAGAGTTCTGAAGGCTCTGAATGGCCTTTGGGTATCCTTGGGACCTGCCTGCTGATTGTGATGGGGATCAGCATGTTGGCACACACACAGGCTGTGTTCTACCCACAGCCATTTTGTCTGATCTCAAATGTTAAGCAGAGTCAGGTTTGGGTCTTGTCTGGGGTTAGACGACAATATAGGGGGACCAAGAGATTTTCCCCAAGGCTGGAGAGTCATGAGTGGCAGGGTGTGTGGGACAGTATGGGCAAGTATCTAGTCCACTGGGCCCCTCCAGTGCTTTGGAAGCGTCGGAGATGGAAGGCAGCTGTATGGAGTCCCCAGCAACAAGCTGCAGAAACTGCTTAAGGGGACAGTGAATTATTTTAAGCCTGGTGGGCCCATGGCACTTCAGGCCATCAGAGCAGAGATGCAACATAGAGATGGACTCATGATCGAGGGGTGGACTTAGCAATGGACACTATTGCCCAGGTTATTCACGAGTGTGAACACTGCACACAGTCTCTCCTGCTCTGGAAGCCTGTTACAAGAGATGGAGCCTGACATGGACCAGATGGATGCAGCAGCTTTATAGGGACTGGTCCATGCACTAAGATAAGAGTGCACCGAGATAAGAGTGATGGTATATTGAAAATGTGGGATCTGAGCATGACGTGAATGGTATGGAATAAGGGGTGGATAATGTCCTGGGTTCAGCAGTAGCAGTCATGTTTCTCCTCCTTGGTAGCTGGTGCAGTGCAGTGTTTTGACTTTCGGCTCAGGAACAGAGCTGATAGAGATGGTTTGGTTTGGCCAAGGACTTTGTGAGCCTCATGCTCTGCCAGGGAGGAGGGGAAGCTGGGAGGAAGCAGAGACAGGACACCTGACCCAAACTGACCAAAGAGGTATTCCATACCACAGCACGTCATGCCCAGGATGTAACTGGGAGTTAGCCGGAAGGGCTGGGAGACTGCAGGGTTGGAGGAGGTATCGGTCGGAGCTTGGTCGGGCTTGGGGGGCGAGTTATCGGTCAGCGGGTGGTGAGGTGTTGTATTCTGTTCCCTTGTTATTTCCTTTATCATTATTATCATTGGTGGTAGCAGTAGTGATTTGTGTTATACCTTAGTTACTAAACTGTTCTTATCTCAACCCGTGGGAGTTGCATTCTTTTGATTCTCCTCTCCGTCCCTCCGAGAGCAGGGGGAGGGCAAGAAAGGGGGGGAAGTGAGCGAACGAATTACCTGACTGGGTTTAAACCACAACAGTAGAGCACCCAGGATTTGCCTGTGAGGCAAAGGAGAAAGGTACCCATCGACATAATGTTCATTGTTCAACTTAAGACTTTTTCCTTTTTCTTCATGCTGAGATTTTCAAATAAGCTTCCAAGCCTTACAACTGAAAAAAATATTCAAAACACAGTCACAAGTGGTTCTGATGCCCTAATCACAGTGCTTTCTCAGTTTCCAACCCATCAGAGGACACACATCTCCATCTCACATATAAGGGGAAGGAGAGCATTTGTGACAGAGTATGATATTATTAACAGGAGAATTTAACTGAGACACACTTTTGCATCTCACGTTAGGTGTGACTTAGCTATGTGATATGTTCATGGGTGACAGGAGAATTATGCCTTACATCTGTAGAGATGTGTAAATGCCTCATTAAGGTTAATAATTATCTGTTAGGACAGTTCCACAAGATAATCTCTCCTACTGAAAAAACAGAAGCAACACAATAAAACCACATTGCAATTGCAGCATCACTGACCTTGCTGAATTAATTAATCTTCAGCAATATTTTTATAAACATATTAATAATGAAATATTGTTAAAAATGCATGACTGAGTAACACCATGAAAAGGTTATCAAGTAGCCCATGAAATTAAGACACAGTATATTTTCAGATCTGACCTCAATTCAACCTGAATTTGTAAGTTAATTCACGTATGACAGAGGAAGAAAGCAGAATGTGGAAGAGAAAGGACATTGCTATGAAACATGGTGCATAAAAGAGTAGTTAAGAAAACTTTTAAATCAAAAAACTAGAGGTATCATCTTTGACAGACAAAAGTCAATAGAATATGACTGATTCCACAATGTTGTCTATATATACAAACCCCAAAAAGAACAAAAGGAACAAACAAAAAACAAAAAGAATCGAAACAACCCAACCACAAAAAGGAAAAGGCAGCCAAACCAAACTAAAACACCCCCCCCCCCCCAATAAAAATCCCCACCACCTTCCTGTATGTAGCAGAAGGCAAGTTATCCCAACAATAAAAAGCTCTCAAGGAAAGCTATGCTTTCCATTTATATTGACAGCTCAGTTTTAAAGCTAAACAAGGATTATACAAAGCTGGGAAACCAAAACAGAACATTATCAACATGTGCTCACAATGAGACGGTTAGACAAATGAACTTCATACTAGCCAACTACGCATTTTGACACATCATTAAACAAAAAACCAGTTTATTATATTTAACATATTTACAAAATACTACAAATTACTGTAATTCCATTAGTGCATGACAACAAAACCTCCATACAGGCAAAAGCAGCACATGAAAGAGACACTCCAGAATATTTAGGAAGTCTTTGGTACTCAAAACATAGTTTAAGATGCAGCATTAACTCAATCAATACAGGGCATTAAACACAAACAATGATATGTAGATTTATGCCAGAAAATAAGTTTAGCTATGGCTTTCATTCTTCCTAAAGGCTGATTACTGGACTCAGGAACTGCTTAAAAGCTTTACAGCAACTTTAGGATGGAGACACTACTCAAAATTATTCCAAAACCAAGCTGTTGAAAATGACTGATATATTTCTCAGCTCATATTCAATTAAGCTGCCTCTTCCCAGAACTATACGACAACAAAGCACTAAACACTTCACAGGCCTAGAGCCTATTCCTCTACTCCTTGAGCAGGCAAAACTGAGAAAGAAGCAACTTTGTCTACTCAAGGAATTTAGGGTCAAGCTCGCAAGAGACAATAAGCCTGCATGGCAAAACATGATCAAAGACAGTATACCATAGTCTACACTGCTATACACATAATTTACAAAATATGTTTTATGCATAATCTACATATTTACAAATGCTCTCAATTATTCCATCAAGTAATGTACTCAACACACTCACAGTTTACAAAAATTTGAGGTAAATCTTTGAAAAGTTAGAACACCAGCAGAGTTTCATCTGCAAAGCTAAATCTCACAAGTGGAGGATTTGTAATTAGAAGATCCTCTCTTCACCTGGTCACTCAGCAGTGTATGCTAGGTGTAGAAAATGGGTAAAATGGCGGCAGAAATTAACGGGATTCTTGTGCTGTGCTTGGCTCCTCCTGTTGGCCCGGAGGCCAGAAAGAAGCAAAGAACACAGGGGACAGACAATAAGAATCTGAAATATGTACTGGCAGATTCTGCTCTGTTGGCCAAATAGTGGATATTATGTTCCTTGTAGAGTGGGAAAAATTGCAAGTGTTAAATTGTGCAGTGTCTATGCACACTAATTGCAAGATGCCTATGTGAAAAGACGGTGGGGAAAGGCAAAAGAGAGGATGTGAGACAGGATGAATTCTTCATTGGTCAACACCCTAGAAATTAAATGCATTTAAGACCTTCATTTTTCTTAGAATTTTTCAATTCAGGTCAGACATTATCCAAATATTCAAAACTGCACATCTGAAGACCTCACCTGTGTTTATTTTAGCTTATAACTACAGCACCTGACTCAGCATAAATATGTCAAAACGCTATCTCCCAAAGGGGTAGACACTACTTTACAAGGCCTGGTATTTCAAGCTAGCTAACCTAGACATATTTTTCCTTGGTGATGTTCTTAAGAATGTAACAAGATCACTCAGTCACTGAAATGCTGTTAACATTGCAGGGAACAAGAGACAAAAGGGCAAAAAGAAGTCTGAAAGTTCCCTTTGCATTACCTTATAAGAACAAAGATGGTGATAGAAACTCCTTTCTAACTATGAAAAGACAGCTTGCAGTTGAAAGCATCAAAGTTTATCTGAATCAATCAAGAGGTTAAGATAAACAGTTCTGTTCATGAGAAGTGACATCTTGCACTAGTATGTTCTCTTACAGAACAGGTTTATGGTATTTAATATTAGCATTGAAAATTTTAAAACTGATCTTGTCATGAGTTTTAAAGTCCTCAGTTGTACTTCTAGGGTCAGCTGCTTAAATGAAAAAAACACTCACACAAAAGGACTTGGGATAACAAAGAAAGGATCCTATAGTTCCACTTTGTGGATGCTTTTTTAAGCAATACTACATCATCACCACATATTTTTAAGATGTCGTCTTTAAACAATTTAGTAGAAGATTTAGGCAGGACCTCAAAGTAGTCAGTCAACTAATTATATATGCATTAATACTATTCATGTTTACTACGTATTTCCTTCAGAACGTTTTTGTGAGTGTAAAACTGTTTGTAAGATGATAAGTAGTTTGATGTTTCAAGACAAGTCTACTGACTATACCCACATGGAATGACTGAACTCTGGTTTCTGCATGCAGTGATAAGGAATAATAAGCCTTCATCTTCTCATACAATCACAGATGTTAGCTAGAAGAAAAAAGACTTATTAAATATTCAGCCACAGCTAGTATTTCATGGTGTAGTACAGGGTGAAATGAAAAGGAGCATAAAAAATTTGTTTTCCAGAGATCTTGCAGGAAGGTAAGGGTTGGACTTTGTACTGATCCCCAGTGACGGCAAACCAGCAGGTTGTTTGTTGCACAGCTCTGGGCTAGGTAATAATCTGTCAGCACAGACTTCTGTACAAATCCTAACATTAAGACTGTAAGGTTCAGACAGACAAAAAATGCTGCTCTTTAAATACTTGACAAATAACACTTTTAACATTAAATTTTTACAGTCCCTGAAACTGCTGGTCAGCAGAGGAAACTTTTTAATTCATTCATCCTCTTCTACATAAGTTGATGGAAACCAGCCCACCTAAAAAAGAGAAAAGCAGAAAAAAATAACACGAGATGTATTTTTTCTTTTCTTTTCACAAAAGTGGCTGAACTAGGCAAAACAAGGATGGGTATGTTAAGTAAATATAGGAATAAGATTACAAAGATAAACTTGACTGACCTGCTACAGGCCAGTACCCTAAATTAAGGAATAACTTGCAGATATGATGATTTGGAGACTGTACACACACACAACCCCCACACCCCTATCCCCTGCCCAAAATATGCCCAAATTGGAAATCTTAAGCATTCAGATAGACATCTAAAAATGCCAGAAGCAGTAGTTTTACTACAGGAAAGATGCTTCTGTTTTCTGAATGAGCAGTTAAATGTTTAACAGGCTTCAGTCAGGTCCAGGGAATCCTCTTACAAAGCAAAGAGTGACTAATTTGATTGCATTACTTGAACTTAAATTCCATTGCTACCAAGAGGAGTTTTAAATATGACAAAACTGGAAGACAGAGTGCAGTTTTTTATACTTCATAAGTTACAATATAATTTCCATTCTGAAATTAATTATATGTCAAATAAGGTTTATATGAGACATAAAGGGACACACAGTCATGTATTTCTTCTTGTCTTCTCTATTTGCTTAGGCTTTTCACTCACACTTCTTTATATCTAAGTCAATTTAACACTCATGAAAGACCTGAAAACCAAACCTAGACAACTACTGCAAGGAGTAACTGCATAAATTTTGGTTGAGACTTGTTGCCAAAATATTTCCAGAAGCGAGCTTAAGATCTCAAGCCTAGGCTGTGAAAGCTATCAGGAAGAATGCTGGCATAAAACGGGCATCCTTTAGTATGCGGGTAGCTGCATTAGAATGAGATGCTCTGTTTTCTTCACATGCAAAATAAATATATAGGATGACCACTGCTTCTGCTTCCCTACTCCTCGTCTAGTTGACTTTTTAGATCACAGCCAGGCTCATGTACATGAAAAAAGTTCTTCTAATTGCATAAAGCAGTAAATCTGGACATCTGTTTCAGCAGGACTTTCAACTTTAATTTCCAGCTTCCAGGTTTCTTCCACCTTGCATTCCTTGACCCTGCATCTCTGCCCTTTAGACATAGAAACACTAGCCTCAAATACCTCTGACCAATCTGCATTAAAGAGCAACATACAAAGATTAAAACAATATAGCCTTTATAAACCAAAACTGAAACCTCACTTCCACGCAAGTCTTAGAGTGCAGTGTGAAGTAACTTTGTGAAAATGCCTGCTAAATATGTCACTTCCTATGAGCCACATCCTTTGACACCAAAGAAGCAGCCTCCTATAAAAAGATGGCTGATTCCAATACATTGTGGTATGGCAGAAAGGTGTGGAAATCATTCTGTATTAAACTGCTAAACAGACTTCCACAACATGAGAAACCTGAGCTTTTGACCCCAAATACAAAGAAACGGTTCAAAAAAGTTCAGCTGGAGCTGCATTATTAATCCTGGTTATTTTCCAACCATATTATCCTGCCCAAATATTCAGTCTGGTAGTTAACATTAAATAACCAATTAATTTAGATGCTGGGAAAGCTGCCTGGCAAGATTCTGCCTGGCTTGTATGAAACAAGGATGAGAACATGTTCTATCTTGTGACTTTAAATATACAAAGAGGGTTTATAATTTAGGAACACCTTTTTTTAATTATTTTTTTTTCTCCACAAAATCACTCAGTGAAGGCAGAAACAAGACAAAGGAAAAAAATCAGACAACCTTACCCTTCCATTTACTTCACCTCTCCACCAGCCATTCGCACTCATCTTGGTATAAATTTTTACAACATCCCCTTTTAGCAAGGATAGTTCTCTCATGTCTCTTGCACAGAAGTCATACCTGGCAATGGCAATGCCTATCACCTTTGGGCTTAGCACTGGAATGAAACAGATGTTGATATTATTAGGGTTTGTAAATTGAAGGCTACCAAAACAAGGTAGAGAGAAGTATTATAAAATATAAAACAATGATTTCACAACAACATACACTGTCATTATTTTTATGCAAATATAAAAGCAGCTGCACTAAATAGATAAAGGTTCAAACATAGGTGAATGACACAAAAGCTGAAGGGATTTTATGTTATTTTTGAAACTGTCCTTTTTATTTTTAGAGAAGAATCAAACTACATGAACAGGAAATGAAATCTCCTACCCCAAAATTACAGAATATGTTCACAATTATTGTATTTTTTTGCTTCATAATAAAACTTGTTGCCAGTTAACATGCAGCAACATACTTTATAAGTCACTAGCTTCTTTCCAAAAGAATTATTAGTATTTACAGTTGATTTAACTTTAAACCTCTAATGAAGCAAAACAAACACAATAAGGTGCTGTTCTTTCAAAAACAACTGCAAGTTAAATATTAATATGCTTATAATTGGAAGCTAACATCAACATGAGCAAAAAAAAGTAAAGAGTTTCCACAAGAAATTTATATGGATCATTTCCTACAGCCTGCATTAACATTGACTGACGTAAATCTACTTTTTTCCATAAGTTTATTCTGTAAATCACAAAAAAAAAAGATTAATTTTGAAAAACAACCCCCTACTCCCAATTTTATGGGAAATTATGTTTTCAACCCTGCTACAGAATGTCCAAAGTTGCAAAAGAAATCCCTGAATCTTCCAGTGAGAGGCAAGTGGGCATGGCACCTCCGAAGTAAAGATCTTGGACTTGAACAATTCAGATTTTAGTTTTAGCAATGCCTTCAGCAATGTAACACTAAAAGTTTATAGCTAGTTGCCTTTAATTCAAACCAGGAACACAAAACATGGCAAATGAGCTTGAAAATCTTGACAGTTTCAGCTCTGCTTGTATGTAAGATTTCTTCTGACCCCACTGGGGACATTTCATAGAAACAGAGGCTTTTGCATAATCATACTGAATAGATGAAAATCATATACTCCAATATTTCTATCTTATAGATACAATACAAATAATTTATTTTAAAATGAAAAACACTATGTTCAAAATATTATTAGATATATCACAAAAATGGAATATCTGAAAAAACTGGTTTGGAGACAGATTACACCCTTTTTATATTATGCCATTAAAAGTTTATTCTAACATATCAGGCTACTTATGTAGACTCTGCTTATCGATACTTGAAAGGATGTACAGGATGCCATGCAAAAAAACCAGCATCTCACTGCTTACATTTGTCATAAAATTTTAGGTGATATAATATTAAAGTTCAAACATACTTTTTCCCCTCAAAGCAAGTCAGATATAAACGCTACTTGTTTAGATCCTGACATGAATGTTATGTCCTATACCTTATCAGCATTGCTGTAATCAATTTTACAGGGAAAGAGCACATCATGGGAAGCAATTGTTTTGGAGAAAGAAAACAAAACCAACACAAACAAAAAGAGCAGCTATTGATTATAAGATCAGTAGCCATTTATAGGTGTGCAGCAATATCACTAGCAGAAGGAATGATTCTGGGGAGCAGGGTATTATTTCAGATTCTAGAAAGGTGGTAAAGGGGCAAGGAAGATTACATGAGGTGAACATGAAAAAACTGGGAAAACACACAAGAAAAGTACTAGGGAGGGAAGAAATGCATGGAATATTAATAAGAGAAAATACTGAGGAAAATTAGGATAGAAAAAGAAATAGGGGCAGATCTGGGGGAAAGGAGGACTTCAACTATTTTTCAAGTTGTGAGGCCCGAGAAGAAAAGGAGAAAGGAGCAAAATAAATCCAGGAAATTAAGAGACATCATGATAGGAAATGTATAAAAGGAAGTGAAATACAGGAAAATGACAGTCCTAATTTTGGAAAAAATGTCTGGTGACAGAGTCACAAAACCCACTTTAGCAGAGACTGAATTTCCAATCAGAGCTCTCCCAAGATAAATGAAACTTGAGGAAAGACAGCATTTGGAAAGGACATCTGTACAGATGAGAGAGAGAACAAACACTGAGTGAATGAGAGAGAGAGGACAGCTACAGAGAGAATGGGATTAACAGCAGAGACTGATGTAAAGAAAGTGCCCAACAGGAGAATGTGAATGAGAAATTAAACGGGAAAAAAACAGAAAGTAAGAAAAAAAGAAATAAAATATTGAAAAAGCACTAATAAATAAACCTTGTGCATTAGGAGCGAGATACTCAGAGGATTAACAGGAAACAGAGTGAGAAATCTCAGGGAGGTGAATAAAAAATGCAGTTGGGAATGAGAAAAACACACATTGGCTTAACCTAGCAGGAGAAAAAAAGACAGCTAGCTTTGATTTACACTAGAATATGTTGGAAAAGTTTCTCATTGACAGAGAAATAGATGTGCTGCGAATGAATTTCAATGCTAGTTTGGGCCACTGATGAAAGAACTGGGGTGCAAATAAAAGGCACCCCATGTGATCACACGAAGCTGGTCTAGATCAATATTTCTGCCTGTCTTTAAATTCCACAAGGGTCAATGGATCATTTTAAAAGCTGTGAACATTTTTTTCCTTCTCCCTGTCGTATGACCTTCTCATAATTCTGCAGCCATATCCCCTAAGGGTTGCCCTTGTGCATTTGTTTCCATGCTCCTTGAAGTAGTGTGTATTTACTTGCACTCTTTAACCAAACCTCAGTTCTACTATACATGCATGGGCAGCACCTCCAGTAGTGCTCAGTAGTCAGCTTAACCCTTCTCCTGTGATACCAAATTCTGTATCAGCTTTGAAGATCCTTCTGAAGAAAGTATCTGATATAATGAAACAAGAATTTGTTCACTTACATAAGCAAGTTATTTGGCTCTTTAAAAAATAAAAAAAACAACCTGGTTTTACTAAGAACATATGAAGTAATGTAGCCTATTAGATAATGAAATTCCATTCAAAAAGGTACATAAGCTCAAATTTAAGCTCAAATTCTTAAGTTAAGAATTACTAATCAATATCTTCCTTTAATATTTTGTACCTGTATAAGGCAATACTTTACAGAGTTTATTGTGGAAGGCAAGAAATTGAATCCTTGCTTTCTGTTATAGTTACTTCATAATTTCTGGCAAAGCACTTTTTCACAAGAAAAAAGGAATAGAAATATAATTTGTTGACTCCATATTGGGAATATATGGAATGTGTGATAGGCTTAAAGTAATACTGAGTCTTGTTTGCTGCTCTATTACTGTAGGCCACTTCACCATGGAACAGATGGAACGTGTTTTCGTGGAATACAGACCAGTTTCACTAACAATGGACCTTACAATCAAGTACTGTGAAGCTATATGAAAAAGGTCATCTTCTATCCTCACCCAAAAGGATAGAAATACACAGTATTTACCTACAAACAAGAGCCAGAACTTAACTCCTTTGTGTTCTTTGATTCAAATGAGGTGAGTGATGCAGAAATTCCACTGAATGTCAGGACCACAGAGTAAACAGCTATAACAGTATTCTATTCATCTTTTCTACAGATGTGTCCCTTTATATTTCAACTGGAAGAATGCCTTAAAGCTTGAATTGTCCATCAATGTTTTTGACTACTTGAAGGAAGAAAATTATCCGCCCCAAAAAATCTGTATGCAAAGAGACAGAAATGGAATAAACAGACTCCACAGTGAACAACTGAGGGGCAAAACATACAAGACCACTATAGAACATTGAGATTTAAATCCCTGGGATAAATTGAGGAAAAGCTCATTAGAGATAACCTCAGCACAAGAACGTACACTAGCCATTCTACTACTGAGCTGCTACCTACCTCCTTTTCCCTTTGAGAAACCACAGAAAACCTTAAAAAACCATCTCTGAGCACTAAACGGTTTGGACGACATCTGTGGGGCAGGTGTAAAACTTACTGCCCACTCAGATCTTGATTATGATTACATCCACATTCATGCATGCTAGACAGCTCCCTCTACTTAGTGCAAAAGCCAGCCTCAACCCCAATTTGCATAACCTCATTCTCCACCCCCTGTACACAGAGTTGTGTCAGTGTAACCTGAGTGAACGTTGCATTCCCAACAGTAGTAACTCTTCAATATGCTCCTGAAAGGCTTTCACCTTTCTACTAGCAAAATTCTTCTTGAGTTGTCCAGCAGTGCAGTTCACCTCTTTGAACACAGAGCAAGTCATAGACATACTGATGCACCAATCAAGACTACAACTGCTACCACTCGAAGCATTTTTATGCAGTCTCTTAATTTAAAATGTTTGCATCTTTAAAGCCAAAGATGATTAAATGAGAATAAAGGAAACAGTATTTAGAAAACAGATGGGTAAAATTAGTTAACAGTGTCAATGCAGAATTTAAAGAAAGCATTTTTTTACCAAAAAAAAAAAAAAAAAAAGGAAAAAAGCTATTGCATTCTAAGATGCCACTGCAGTATGGTTTGCTGCAGGGATGGGACGAATATGTTAATTGTCTACAAGCAGTGAAATTTTCAGGTTCGTGCATTTGAGCAAATACATTAAAATACATACAGCTTATAGATGTCAACTACGTAGCAAAGTAACACTATGTGATTAAGTGATCATTAATTGAATCTGCTGTGACTGTTGAGGTTTGCAACACCTATTCAAACTGCTTATTACAATATACACTTTTCAAAAGTTTAAGAGTTTGATTTTTGTTATACTCCAAGAATAACATGTAATAACTCAGTTTTTGGAGTCTGAGAAGTATTAGATTCGTCCCTTCCCTCACTTGCTGCACACAGAAACAACAGAAACAAATTTAGAAGAAATATAAAGCAGTAAAGCAGTACCTGACCAGAAAGGAGTGGAAGAAGGGGGAACAAAGCTGTAGTCTGGAGGAGTTACAAAAGAAAACCCACAGAACAAAGAAGGGGCTTAGAGAAAGAAAGAGAAAAAGAGAAAAGCAAAAGAACATTGAAATATTGGCACAAGATTTAAATAATAGTTTTTTAACTATATAATTCATTGATAATAAGGAAACTAAGGTTCCCTACTAAGGATGTCTGGAAGGAAACTGACTATAATAACTAGAAAATTTGGATTTATGATTTAATTTTTAACAACTGCATTTTTCAAAGAGTAAAGTAGAAAGAAGACACCCACATTCAGGGTTTCAGAGAAGCAAATTAAAACTGCAGACGCCTGTAAATATTTTCAGATCTAACAGATAATTTTTTTCTTCTTTGATTTTGTGTGTCTCACTTCTTAGCAGTACAAAAGCAGGAACTTGCACACAGGAAAGAATTCCTCCTGAGTCCAGGAATATTAGTCACACATCCTTAATTAGGAATATAGTTTAAGTACCAGTTGAATTGGGGTCTCATAACATGCATGGGAAAATCTATTTATTTTGCCCTGGCAATTATTAACATCAACAGGAATTCCACAACTAAACTACATCCTCTAAGGCCCAAACAGTATTGCTTATCTTTGCCATTTTTGCTGACTTGAGAGAAAAACCCTGAGCCAGGAAAAAAAAAATGTAAATTTGGCCTAGCCAGAACCAGCACATCATCCTAATCCCTGTAACAGCTTCCATAGGTGAAAAATCTGAGGTAGACTCGAGCACCAACAGAGGGTCAACATATTTTTAGAAAACAAAATCAGATCAAATGAACTAGAATAGCTTCAAATGTAACTACAGTTTGTTGACATATTCTCATATTTTGTCCCTCTTTTGAAGAGGCAACTATGATATGTAATGTACAAAGTTTAATAAAGTTGGAATCTTTGCTCCCAGCTATGATTTGGAAAGGGAAGTCCATCCTCAAACAGAGAAATGATGAAAGTAGCATTTAAGTTATGCTTAATAATACCTATAATTACTGACCAAAAGTGTTCCTTGAAAATTTATCAAGTTATATACATCACATATAGATGCTTGCCTGAATTTATTCTTGTGACTACATATGAAACAAAATCACTTTGCTTCAAAATGGCTATTTCCAGGAATGATGACTAGAACTATTTAATGCAAAGAGTTAACAAAGAATCCATGGTGGAAGTAATGATACAGTTTTGTGCCTCTTACCTGGATTAGAATAGATACTTTTGTGACAATGAAACTACCAGCATAAGTAAAATAAACAGGACCAGTGCTGTATTTTAATGTTCATAAGCAACAGGTTAGTTATTTCATAATAATAATAATGAATCCTACAACACAAACCAACAGCAGTTTAGGTTAGTATCTCAAAGTACTACAAAAGAAACATACTCAAGGGCCTCTTGCATACTATGAACTCCCTTCTGATCCTTCACAGTTATGTTCTTTTCTCTGCCTGTAATACTAAAAGGATTACCTGAGAATGCATGAGGTAACCTGAGGTACTCCTTTATACTAAGGGTAGTAAACCCAGGTGACAGATGTGTGTGGAAATTTTAAACAAACCAAAAGGGCAACTTGACTGAAATAGTGTGCCCATTCTTAAGAGACAAGTAACTGCCTTTGTTTCTACAGAAGCATAATGATAGAGTGTAAAAGCAGTGGGCAGGTATAAAGACAACTTATGTGCTATAGAGGGGGTGGCTGATCCTTTCCTGTGTATGCATTACCTTAATATTTTGAGATCTTTCTGTCAGATGTAACTGGAGGTTTGGTTTTATGTGTCAAATGCTGGACAACTAAATCTATCTGGGCAAGGAAATCCTAACAGACTTCTACAGATAACTAGTCTATTTTTAAACATCGCTGATAAGGGCTTTGGCATTGGCTTTTAAGGAGAAAGGCTGGATCCTTTTGGTTCCCTTAAGATCAGGGTGATATAGTTATTTTTTTTTAATTTTACTTTATTAACAGATACTTTTGCAGAGTTCATGCATTAAGCAGTGGAATGACATGAAATAATTAATGTCCCTAGTCCATAGATGGTGAAAGCCAGTCACTCAGTATTTGGCTTCATGATTTAGGTTACATTAAAATCTAAATATCACAAAGACTCCGATTTCTCACTATGACTGTGCTCCACATCAGCAGAATGGAATGAAGTGCCAAAAATTATTCTGTAGAAGAACATCAACTTTTCTTCCATTTTTGTCTTTATTTCATTAAATGGTCAATCACCACTCTAATGTAAGAATTAGTATTTTTCTGTGTCACAAAACAAAATATGATCATACTATGTCTAAAAAAGCCTAAGACTGGAAAATTAAAAACAAGTGTACCCATTTCCCAGAATATCTTCATAATTAAATTAAATTTCTATATTGAAAAAGCTTAATGTCTGACAGCTTTTACAGCCACATTAAAAATCCACAATAAATATCAGAATAGAGTGAGTGACTTATTCAAGAGCAGGAAACTAAAAAGTAAAGTTCTAATTAAAGGCGGAATTCAAGTTAACTATCTTCATAAAATGAATTTTTGTTCTAAGAATCTAGTAGTTGCTCCGAGGAGAACCAAATTTAAGAAGTTTCAAGGTGATTTATTAAGATTCATATCAGAAACTACAAGTAAACTTAAATGCTACTTGATTTTCTTTCCTTTGATTGGTAAACAAAAAACATGACAGTTACTACAGATTAACATAATCCTCACGTTATTCTAGAAAGTGGATTTTGGTACTACCGTTCAATTTCACAGCAGCACAAAGATTTTGGCAGCAGAGAATGATACAACTCTGTCAAAGTCTACAGTGGTTTAATTTATGTTTTTTAGAAGTACATTTATTCTGTCAATTATATAGGCTATAGAACAGCTGCTTTCAATAAGAAACTGATGTCTTTTCAGAAGACGACCTCATTAAAAAAATCCAGATATAGTCATTTGAGCAGTATAGTGTAAAAAACCGAGTTGAAACCCAAAACTTCCTTGAAATCAGCTTCAAGCTGCTCAAGTCCATTGCATTCACTGGTTACAGCCCTGAGCTTGTTAAAGATATGCTGAATGTGGCATTGAGTAGTTGCTTAACAGGTAAAAAAAAAAAAAAGGTAAAGAGTCCCTCTCTCTCGTCAGCTGACTTCTCTGGCTTCCTTTCAACAACTGTTTTTCTTGTACTCGGAATAAGCCTGAAGAGGTCAAAAACACGGCTGTGTGGCTGTTCTCATTGAGGGCTGTTGTCCTGGGTTCAGCAGTAGCAGTCATGTTTCTCCTTCTTGGTAGCTGGTGCAGTGCTGTGTTTTGACTTCCAGCCTGGGAACAGTGCTGGTGATGCCGATGTTTTTGGTTGTTGCTAAGTGATGTTTACCCTGACCAAGGACTTTGTGAGGCTCATGCTCTGCCAGGGAGGAGGGGAAGCCGGGAGGAAGCAGAGATGGGGCGCCTGACCCAGGCTAGCCAGGGAGGTATTCCATACCACAGCACGTCATGCCCAGGGTGGGGGTGACTGGGAGTTACCCGGAAGGACACGGGCTTCCGGGTGGAACTCGTTTCTTGGCCGGTGGTATTGTATTCTCTTCCCTTGTTATTTTCCCTTATTGTTGTCGTTGGTGGTAGCGGTGGTGATTTGTGTTGTACATTGGTTGCTGGACTGTTCTTGTCTCAACCCATGGGAGTTGCACTCTTTCGATCCTCCTCCCTGTTCCTCCAGGAGCGGGGAATGGGAGAGCCTCGGGGGGGGGGGGGGGGCCTCAATTGCTCGAGGCTAGGGTTTAAACCGCGACAGTTCTGAAGTCAACTCAGCGTCTAACTCTGTCCCATGAGTTGTTTCCTCTACGAAACAAAACTACAGCCTAATGTTTACCAACTTCTGTTCAAATTCAGCTCAGCAGGATTCACACAGCCTAGATATAGTTATTCAAGCATCACCTTGGTAAAAAGCAAAAGGATAGCTTTAAAACTATGGGGACACACCCACAGGGACACGCTAACACTTCAAAAGAAAAACTGTCAAACCCATTAAATGAAAGTGTCATCCAGAGACAATACAGGTAGTCTAGCAGAATTGCAGAAATCTATTACATTTTATATGAGGTACTTTAAAATTGAGAGGCTTTTTGATCAGTTTGGCCTAAGACAAAACCTTCCAGTTCCCACCAGCATCGCTTGTAACATTAAACAACTGATATTTATGGCAGTGGAGAGGCGCTTTCTCATCCCCTTGACTAAAGTAAGAGCATCCCAGACTTATTTCTCTTACTCTTCCATATACTACCTATAAGATCTTGTCAAAGGAGATGTGTTCTTTTATTTTGTATGTGGACTGAAGGTAATGAAGATGTACTGTAAATCTTGTAGCCTGTAAAGCATGAAACAATTGGGCTAATATTCTTGCAGACTAATAAGTTGCTGGACAGTACAGATAGATTCTAACTGGCCTAAGAATGAAAAACACACAAATTGGTTCTGCTTACAGTCAATAATAGTTCAAATAAATGCAAAGCGAACTAAGTGGGTCATATCCTCTCAAGAGTTAAGGCCTCAAATGCTATGAAGAGGCAAGGGATGAAGAAAGCATGAGAGATGACAAGAGGATGAAAGAGGCAAAATGAGATGGCAAGCTAAAGAGAAAAAAAAGGATGCGATGGAAAAATTCACCAAGAATGGAGAGGTACTGTGATACAGCATAGCAGGGAGACAACTAAGTCCTAGGAAGCAGTGAAAGAAAACAGAAATGGAAGGAATAAAGAGGAGATGGGAGATTGAGACAGCATAAATGAAATGCACAGAGACACACTGGTATCCTACAATTATCTGTCCTAAATTATCTTCATTTTAATTAGGAGAGGAATAATGTCTCCAAAGTTATAGAAATGTTATGGAACAGAGGCAAGCAAGTAAACAAAAGCTCACAAACAGCAAATGAAAATAACACATCCAACTTCATCATCACAAAGACTAGACTAGACCAGACCGTATGGTCTTTCACATCAGTCTTCATATCGTTAAAATCACCATTATTTTTTATTTTCCTCTTATTATCTGTTGCAGTACAAAGATACAGCCATTATCTGCAAAACCGCAAATCTAATATTTGCTCTTTGACAGAAACATTATACACCTTCCAGAGACCAGCTATGTGGTAGTTTTTACCATTAACACTGAACTTGTACATGTCCTAAAAACCATGCTAACATCAACTTAAATCATAACGCATTAAGAATAGCATGTGCATTGTAGATCTTCTCAGTTCATCTCTAAACTTTAAAACTTTTAAACTGTTATTTACAGTGTACAGTAGTTCATTAACTTTCAAAGATTAGAGGCCTGTAATAAACATATAAGGTTAACGGGCAGGCATAGAAATTATGATATAGTAAATGTAATGGTGGTTTTGGGAAATTTATGTAATATCATTAAGAAGATAATGCATAAGGCTACACTACGTGACTGACTTATTTAAATCCCTTTTTAAGGATTAGAAATTGTCACAGATATTATTAACACTAGTAGCTGCATGAATGCAAATGTCTCAAAAAAAACCCTAGGCAGGATGCAATTTGATCTCTCACCAGCATGCTTAATAGATTTTTGACTATCAGGGAGATTTTAAGTTTGGCAGCAAGACAAACCTGCTAGACATGTTTATAAACCTCCTGGCAGATCTAAATCTGCTTAGCTTCAAAAAAATCATAGCTAAAAGCATTACCATATTAATTGGTTATATGTCAAAAATGGAAAATGAAGATGTTCAAAGTACCTTGTCCTTTTAATATTTATGATAAAAAATAACATAAAAACATCTATAATACTCACAGTTGCCACCTGTTCTGTTACTCCTCTGTCCTACTGAATTTTCAGGTTCTTTGTAGGGAAATTGGAGAGTAGTATCCAAACTTCGAAAGCCTTCTTTGAGAGAGTGGTGCTTATAATATTCTACAAGTTCCTTTCAGAAAGGAAAAGCACTAGGTCATTGGAAACTGAAATCACATTCTTGTCAACATTCTGTTGTACAGCCAATGAGAGTTTAATCATACCTGTAACCTTATTTTATAATACTATACCCCACAGTACATGTTTATTTTGTTTAAATCGAGTATCCCAAATACTGACTGCTTTTACACTTCTTTAACTGTTTTTTTGGTCTGGGGGTTTGTTGTGGGGAGGGGAGTAAGTAAAACCTTGTTGTCAGAGTCAACACTTACTGCTCCTTTGTGCCAGGCTGAGCAAGTATTTGCTTTTCTGAATTCAGGCAGAAGGCAAGGTCAGCTGCTTGATAAGTATATAATGGTAACCGCCTTTGTTTTCTCAAATTTCTTGAGCAGTGATAAGTGATGTTTATCCACAAATGCATTTGTAAGTATACACAAATCCAAATTTAAGCATAAGGCTTGCATGTAAGTCAACAGCAGCTTACTTAACAGATACACGGACCATATAAAACTTTCAAGGCTCTGCCATTAAAATTCAGGGGAGTGGATGGTTGTGGAAGCGTTGTTATCTTTTTGTTGGTGCTTTGGGTTTTTTTTTGTGGGGAGCTCTTTCAGATACCACACACTGACTGAAACATACAGTATTTCACACTCTCCTTGTGCCCAATCCAAAAATTTGTCTGTATGTGTGCATATATATAAACATACATATGCACACATAGAAAAATTTTATATGTATATATCTATACATGCACAAATTTTATATATATGTATGCACACATACATAAAAATATAAAAAACTATCTCAAATAGTTCATGTAACCAGGAAGGTAAGTTACTTCAGTTTCTATTCTAAAACCTACCCATTTTAAAGAAACTGATAGCTCATGTTTTTTCCTTTGCAATCTTCACCCCTGCTATTATCTCATACATTTGCATTAGCAAATAATGTTAATATTACACAGTTTGTACACAGAGCAGAATAAAAGTAACCAGACAATTCAAAGCAAATTATTTAATTTGATTAATAATACTTCAACTGTGGAATTTCACTGTTCAGAAATGCAAGCACAAAGCAATGTATTTACTGTGAATCCTTCACTCCTACCAGTAATTCTGTCATTCCATTCTACTTACTTATATTTAGATTTTCTAAACCAAAGTTGATCAAGCCAAGCTTAAGTCAAAATAAAAAAATAGCACTCTGTTCAATCATCCCTTCTAGCTAAAAATTAACAAAATTATAAGCCTACAAGAGACTACATCAGTGATGAATTAATTCCAGCCAAATAAAATGACTCTCAAATTATGTAGTCCAAGATTGAGTACATAAACTGTAAGTTCTTGATAACAGTCTGAAGATTACCTGTTGAACTCTGGAGCATTTCACTCCCCACACTGTAAGCTGTTGCATGTCTCTGAGCCTGCCTCTAAGGCAGAGTCCAAAGCTAAGTAAAACCTACACCTGTTTTAACAGTTCATAATCACAGACCTGCCAAGCAATCCAAGTGAGCAGAAAAGCCAGGAAGCTATGAGCTGTTTGGGCTTTGCTGTCTGATATCAGCACAGCATGTAAGCTACAAAGTCAGCAACCAAATATTCTGTCACGTATCACCACCAAGTACCCAGACATTCAAATTACCAAGGCAACAGAGAAGGCGATTTGTAAGTAAGCAGCATGCAAAATAGGATTTCTGGATAAACGGAAAAATAACCAGTCTGAAACTTTTGTTATCTTTTTGCACTAAGTCTGTAGGAATTATGCTATTTGGTAAATCTAGTAACAATTTCAACTGGAAAAATTTTAGTTATTGGCAAAATAAGTAAAAGGGTTCCAAACTAAGAAAATTTTTACTTTGGGTCACAAAGATTAAGTTGCTTTTAAAAGCTAGTTTTTAAAGCCATTCTTCCAGGAAAACAGTAGGCAAACAACTGGCCTCTGAAACATTCATTACACAAATTACAGTAGCAAGCTCACAGGTAAGCAAGGTAAGTATCCCCTGCCAGTGTGAACGGGGCTCCCCAGGAGTCTGTCACATTACCATGATTCACATCAGCAGCAGAGATGACTCGTCTCTACACCTTGGCCTGCTTTGCACTCAGCACATTTTAATTACCCATCTGAAAGTTTTTGAAACGTACTACGAAAACTATGTACAAAAGCTGTTCTACTTTTGTTACCCTCAAAGTAGTACAGAACATTGTGTCACTGCAGATCACTACTTCAAGCTTCCCTGGCCGCTGGCTTTGTCTCTCTTCTGCTCCCTGTTCTACTCAGACTGCCTTTTTCCTCACTCTCTTCTTCCAGACTGTTTCTTTTTCTCTTGCATCTACCCAGAGTAAAGCAATTGTTCCACAGCACATGCAAACAGTACTTTCACTACCACTTCCCTACTTAATTCCCAAGGGCAGACTTCATAATGCTCTAAAAACCAAGTTCTGAAATTACTTTTTCCTAATTGAATGTTGACAAGGCTAAGTCAGCAGCGATGAGGCCTTAACATTGGCAATTTCTTTTCTCAATTCTTTAATGCAATGCATATTCTTTTTGTTTATTGTGCAAGTTTGTGTCTTGTACTTATATCTCTGATCAGCTCCATTCTGAAACCTGCATCAGTGCATTAAACTGCATCATCACCATAAACACGTATCTGGCAGCATGCAAATCCAGTTTACATGCTTTGTCAAAAGCCTGAGAGCGCTCATATGTCCAATGAATCCATTAGTAGTGTTTGCAAGACTAAGTAACCGCCTCTTGCATGCATTTGAGGAACACCATGATTTCTGTTGCTACCCATAAGGTCCCCAGCCCTAACACTAAACACTTGCTGGTTTTTAAGTGTCAAATGAAGACATTAGAGTGTGGAAACAGTTTGGTGCATTCTTTATCAGTAAATTTACGTTCTTCCCACTCTAACAAGCACTTATTTCAATAGGGTCAAGCAAAGTATAGATTTCTGCTTGATTTACCATGACCTGTAGTATGTTCTTGCTTTACAGAGTATCACTGGTTAAATTAAAATAATTTCTAAGGCTTTCTGATTTTAAAGCTTCTTTTCCTGCTGTTGTTTTGCACTGTGCTTAATTTCTATTTATGATTTTAGAGTACTATGATAGGTTGCAGCATAAGTTTTAATCCAATTGACTGCACTAAATATACTGAATGAGCTTCCTTTAACAATGCATCAAAAAATTGCTTAAGCAATAAAATTTTACAAATGCACTAAGGTAATTTATTCAGACACCTTGTATTTATGAGGCTTGTCTGAGCATAATAAGCTATCAAGAGATTATTTCAAATTAAAGTTATAAAAATAAGGAGAAAAAAAAAAAAGGAATTTCTTACCAGTACATCATGACTCTGACATAACATTGAAAACTGATTTCCGGGAATAAATAATTCCTGTAGTTAGAATGAAAGCTAACAAGAGCCCATGTTTTCTGCGTGAGCAGTTTGCTGCCACAAAGTATTAATTTTGAAGTAGTCACACAGTTGCTTTAATTAAACTCACTGATATTGACTCCAGATTACTATCATTCCAACAAGGATTCCTGAGCTATTAGCAGTTTAGACAGCCCCATTCTCTATCTGCTTCTCATTGCCTGGTGCATCAGGACCAGGAAGACTAGTCTCCCCTGAGTTTTTTTCTGGACTCTCTGACACAGCTCCACTTTATACCCTTCTCCCTCTGAACTTACACATCTATAAGCATCATTATGTTCAGCAGTACACATGTAAATGTGCTAGGCTAGGAAGGAACCTTCACCTAGCTACTTTTAGGGATCCTTACTTTATAGAGAAAATTGCCAAAGACATCAAAGCTTCCTTTCAAGATTCAGTCTAACTCCATAATGGGCTGATGCATAGGATTCAAGTTCCTCCTGTCTTTCACATCACTGCAAGGGACACAGTCCAGTAGTAAGTATGTAGTTTTAAGAACATATTACTATCACTTGGATTCATAACTACCAAAAATTATTCTATTAGCAGGTATGGACACTATTCAAACCTCTCACAGCCTTTTGTAATTTCACAAACTAAAGTAGCTCTCACTAACAGCAACATCTACATAGAAAATCACACTTTGTTAAAAACCTAATCAATGCTTACCATTAAATTTTTAAATTTTCTGTTTTCTGCAATGTGGAAAAAGCCATCTCTTGTTAAAATCTTGATGTGCTTCACTTCATTATTGTACCTGTGGGCAATGAATAACTTATGAATATAAATGTGGTTTTAATCAGATGCAATCAATAATTACCCGAGGGCATGCCTCAATAACACCACACAAATAAATTCTTGAGACAAAATGTATATCTGTGCCAAAGCAAAGTTGACATCTAATTAACCAAATATATTTATTAAAGGACAGCTGAAGAGGTAATCTGCATTCAGAAAAAGTCACAACTAACTGCTCATTCTATCTAGGAATTCCCATATATTTCTTACTTTTACATTCATGGTGAGAAATCACACAAAAGCCAACAGGACCCTCACAATAATTTGCATCCACAGAATTTATGAACCCATATTTTACTGTAACGTCTGAGATGCAAAGGGCTTTCACAAGTTCTCACTGAAGTCAATGAAACATTCTTATTCACTTCAGAGAAGCAGATCGCATTACACTCCAAATACTTGCTTACTCTTACCAAATATACTAGATCATTATTTTTGTAGAACATTTTGCTACACCAGCGTTATAAAACCATTGCTACCTTCCTACTGTAAATCCTGGGTATTTTTGTCAGCAACTTCAGTTTTCTTTTATTAACTCTTAATCCTGTGTATGATTATACAACTGAAACAGGGATTTATTTTCCTTATTTATTTCAAATATTATCTAGACATAAATGCGAACACTAAAACTTGCCATAGGAGAGATCTTGTTCCACTTACTTAATACTAATTGCATATTCTCCTGACTCCTTGGTCCTGTGCCGTACCAGGTAAGTGCTATTTACTCTGTTAATAAGTTCACTTTCTGCTTGCAATCTTTCCATTGCTCCTGCGAACCTGTAACAGAATAACAAAAACTACCAATAATTTTTAAAAGTCTATGAGGAAAGGTCTATCAAATAGGCAATGCAAAGTCCCAGTATACTGCATATGATGGGGACCTAAAAATACATCAGCTGCAACTGATCTTTGACTGAAGAATAAAACAAAGAAAAATCTGCACGGCAGGGGGGTGGTGGGGTAGAATCCTTAATTAGAAAGGTACTTGTGCACATGTTGAACACAGTGCCTGGTAAGGAAAGTACTTGAGCCTGATCATTAGCTGAATGACTACTACCTTGAATAGCTCATAAAGCCAAGCGTAATTCTGAATCATGTGTTGCAAGTGAAACAATAAACACTGGTCCAGAACCTTTGAACCTCCCTCAAATCTAGTGGGATTTATCTCAACAGAGTGGAGAATCTGCCTCCGGCAATTTATTAGGTAAAAAAGGGACCCATGCAAAAATTTAATATTCATACAAACACACTATTTTATTTGGTTTCCTAATTATACATAACCTCTAAGGGCTAAGCGCAATGGGTAGACTGCACATCCGCAAGAAACAACAACAACAAAAAAAGTCTTAATATATGCAAGTTTGGGAAAGCTGATACTAAGAGTTGAAAAGTATGACAAGTAAGTCAATTATTCTGCAACCTGACTGCATAAGCAGATTTGTGCTCTTGCTCTGCTTTGATGCCTTGGTAGGACTTCATGAGATGTTGCCAGCACATGTTTACTTGCAAAACTAGAGGATAAACTGCTAATTGAGGGAAGTGACCTGGTTTCCAGGGAAATGATGCTTATTTTACAATTTTACAAAGTAGTCCAAAGGCGGTCAACATCACAGACGATTACTATGTAAAAGTTTACACTAAGGCACCAATTACAAAAGACCTTTAGTCAAAAAAATAGTTATTTTTTGAAACACACCAGGAAACATGCATTTTGAAGCTTATCATGAAATACATGATTTGTTACAGCATAGCAAGTTTCATCCTAAAGTCACTTTTCGGTAAAGCCTTACAAATTCTTAAAAGATAAAGACTGATCCAAATGATACGCTTTCTTTAAAAAAAAAATTTAAATAGAGCAGATTTAATTTAAAAATACCAATTTTACATATTAAACATTCTATCTGGGTTGCTATTAAAAAAAAATAATGAATCTGTAATTGTTTAGTTCCAATTCTGATTTCACTTTTGGCAAACTAAAGGAAATCATAAGTCACGTCTAAATGACAAAGCATAAAAAACAGTGAAGGCAGGTGATGCTTCTTCTGTTCTCCCAGTATCACCAACCATATCTGTTCAACAAGTGAGCTGAATTCTGGTAAAGAGTTCACATGCTACTTAAGCCCCAAACCAACAGTAGCAGTAGTTTTGCTACATTCTTCTCCTTTACCTCCATATTTGTATGCCCCACCCCCTTGAAAAAAAAGGCAATGCATAATTATTTACTAGATAAGATGTATTTAACATTATTCTTTCTCTTTAGTCACTTAACATGTAAGATCTACTTGCACACTTCGTATTATACTCATCTCTCATTCTGTTTCAGATCTCTGGGACTTCAGCTGCACATCTACAGACTTGTAAACAAAATGTCAGAATCTTTAAGTACTTTATTACATCAGAAATGCTTCTAAGCTATTCATGGCATTGCTTTCAAAAGCCTAGGCAAATTAAACCAATACAAATTAAACTGTAATAAATACAGTTGTCTTTCTGTAACTGCTTCTTTCAAACTGATTCCTCTAAGACTAGACAGGGACTCACCACAGTTGTGAAGAGTAGTCTACTGGTTTAGGAACCTAAGACATAAAAAGATAGACACAATGAAGAGAAAGATTTTTTTCTAATCAACACAAATTAGACAGCATTGATTAAATTGTCAATACCCAGATGAAACAAGTTAAAAGAAACAGATGACCTAATTAGTCTGCAAGTCTTTTTTCTTCTGAAGGAAGTTATAATAAAGGATAAATATTCCATATATTCTGAAAGCAGTGCAGACTATTTTAACTCTCTTCTGCTGTGACAGGTTGGATTTTTTTACTTAATAGAACTGTCAAGATTTTCTAACTGTGTCCACATTCAAAAAATACACCAGTGGTGGTAGTTGGGCACCTCCACTTCTAATAGCAAGATCTGGAAAAAGTTAACATATTATGAATATACTAACAAAGAATTCCTATGAGAAATGTTTTAGTGAAGCAACCAAATGAGATGTTTCAAGGCAAACTAGGTACTTACGCAGTCATTACATGCTGTGAGATATTTCAATAAAACATTTCATCTATGGAGGAATTGCACCTTTAATGATTTATACTATCCCCATAGGACTAATTAAATAACATGCATTCTATCAGCAGCAGGAGAAGAAAGAATAGTTAAAAAGAAAAAACAAAAAGCCCTAAATAAAAATATCAAAAAAAAACCCTTAGTTTTTCAAGTGGTCCTACAACGCTGGAAAGGATATAAAAATTCAAAGATGTTTTAAGTCAATCTTCCAGAGCACTTAAACAATAGATGAGTAGCCCTTTTCACTAATTTTTAATGGACAGATATCTATAGATAGATAGATATCAAATGCTGTTTCATTTTCTTGGCTCATACTGTGCTATGTATCCAGTAGCTCTATAGAAATGAGAAAACTGAAGGAAAGCTAGAAGAAAAAGATATTACTCAGCTGATGCAGAAAATGTCTGCTGACATACACTAGTTATTGCAAAGAGGAAAAAATTGTTTATAGGTACATCTGTGATAAGTCTGGAATATAGATATTCTGAAGCTCAGCAGTTTTTCATTCAATATTCATTCCTAAAGTCTTTTGATGTATGTATTTTATGCTGTTTCTGGGCATTTATATCAGCCAGTTGTAAAGACTGTTAGACTTAATAATAACAGTAAGAGTTATAGTATGTTTAAAACCTGATTGATGTTTCAGTATCTTTAACTGCATCATTTATCACAATAAGATGTTTATATTTCATCCTTCCACGTTAACAGTGGTGAAGTTTCAATTTATCTTTTTGTTATGATCATAACACTAGTTGGAAACATTTCATGAATAGTATTTTTTCGTTCTGTAAAACCGTATTATTTTCAATAGTCCTCTAAATAGTATATTTTAAATTTTGCAGAAAGCTTTATCACTAGAAAGCAGTCTTCACAACACACTAGTAGTATTTTTCTAGCTTTGGATATCCTGCTTCCTCTACTTTAAAGTATAGTGGTGGTTCCTAATATGTTGCTACTGTTGCTGTCAATGGTACTACAAAATGACTGACTGGGTGGCTCCAAGAACGTAACAGAAAGATGCAGGAGCTACTGCCTGTGTCCAGGACAGCGACACCATGGTACAGGAAATCCACAACTTCTCCAATAAACAAGGGATGGAGAGAGAACAGCTAAGTTCACATGACATTTTTATCTTTATTCTAGACCTGTTCTCATACCCAAACATACAAAAACTCTGTGTGTCCCTCTTCAAAATTCTGAAATGACTAAAAATGTCTCAAGATACACCGATGTATTTATAGTGTTTAGGATCACATGTATATTTGTTTTAGAGACAAAGGCACAATATAGACCTTAAAGGCGTATCAAAATGTAGCCACTAACAGCTGATTCAACCTACTTAAAAACCATTTAAGTGGTCTATCTTGATGTTGTAATGAAAACAATTCTATTAATAAAGCCAAACTGTTGTGAATCAAGTTAAAAGAAGTTAAAGCTGCCTTAAAGCAAAGTAAGGAATATGATTCACCACTAGTTTTATGAGTTTACATCAATTAACTGCAATGAAGGGACATAGTGATATGATGCACAGTGTTATAGAGAGAATGAAGGAGCAACTGTAGAGTATATTAAGGCACCGTCACATATGTACATGAAATTCCAGAGTATACATGACTAAATAATTTCTCCGATTGTTATATCCTGAACTTTTCTAGATTGAGAACACCCTTGGGTGGAATAAAGGCAGATAAGAACCTAAAGAGGAGAAAATTATTTGAGCCACTTGAATTCAAAGTTTTATATTGGTTTTATGCATTTTTAAACTCACTACTTATAGTGTAATCCTTCTCTTTAACCCAAAGTGACTGGGGAATAGATTAGAATCACAGCATTCTCTCACCTTACTGCTAGGGAAAGAAGAAAGTGCACTTTCACATAAAATGTGTTTGTTCTATACTCTGGAAACTCTTCAGACATTTCAATTTATTAATATTCCCAAAAGAAAAATCTGCTTCTCAAACATGTTTTCTTGACATGTCCTATTTAAATCTAATAACCAAAAGTTTTGCAATTCTTTATTTTAAGCAATATTGAACATACCATGAAAACACAGAGTAATAAGAAACGATATGATTTTCATAAGATAAGATTAATAAAGCAATAGTATCAACTAGACATTTTTTTCTGTAAGATGACAAACGGGATTAAACAACTGTACTTACACATGGGCTAGGCTTTACTGCATCACTTGGGAAGAATCCAAGCTCTCCTGTTGTTAGATTTCTGCCCTAGAGAAAAAACACACACACACACACCAATTTTAATTCTTGAAACATAATGAGGGTTAATCGTAAAAAACAATACACACACAAGGATTTAGGACAATAAAGGTATAAAGAGTAAACAAAATACAATGTTGTTTCAATAAAATGTTAATTAACAGTTGTGTACATTTTGTTGTTAGAGGTGTTTCGTTGGTTGTTTGGGTTTTTTTAAGAGATATACAATTAGGTATTAATTATAGCTGATAAACCTGAAAGGTCTGAGAGATGAGATTCAAGAAGGGAGCTCAGAGCCTGGTTTGCAGTTCCCAGTTCTGTCAATGTCTGCCAGTGTCAGGTATCTTCATTAACGTTATCTCCTTTCAAGTTACTTACTCCTCAGTTGTCATCACTCTAGTGAGAGCTGCCACACTGCAACATTACAGATCCCAAAAATGACTACACCACCATGCAGCAGGAGTTGCAACACCTGAGAAATCATGCTGACTCCAATGAGAACTTATGCTAATAATCCATCAACCAATTCAGGCACAAAGTTCTATAGTTAAGGGTTTCCATAAATGATACAAATCACAGGAAATCACATGGGCACAAGATTATTAACAGAATTAAAGATTAACTCCCTGTCTATGAGATATTCACAGCACAGAATCATAGAATGCCAGGTCGGAAGGGATGTCAAGGATCATTTTGTCCAGCCTTTCTTGGCAAAGCATGGGAATAGATGTCCCAGTAACTTGCCCAGCCAAACCTTAGAAGTCTCCAGTCTTGAGGAATCCAACACTTCCCTAGGAGATTATTCCAGTGGCTGATTATTTTCATTGTGAAAAATTTTCCTCATGTCCAGTTGGGCTCTCCCCAGGAGTAACTTGCGGCCATCACCACTTATCTTTTCCAAGTGAATCTTTGTAAACAGGGAGTCTCCATCTTCTTTGTAGCCACCCTTTCAATATTGACATATGGTGGTGACATCTCCCCTGAGCCTTCTCTTCCCCAGGCTGAACAAACCACATTCTCTCAGCCTTTCCTCATACGGCAGGCTTCCCAGTGCTTTGATCATTTTTATGGCCTTTCTCAAGACCCTGTCCACATCTTTTGCATAGCAGGGAGCAAAACTGAATATGTTGCTACATGTGCCCATAACTGGGAGACCAGCATGGCCTAAACCAAGCCTTTTATGCAACACAACTGCTGCCCAAAGTTGCAGGATCACCAATTTACTCTGGGATTCTAAGGGCCAACAATGACCTCAGCGGCTCACAATTCACCACCAAGGTCCCCTGAGGAGTACATCCTCAGACAGACAGAACAGCAAAATAGTAACGTCTTTGGCAAAACACGTTTTTCAGAGCAGAGCAGAACAGAGCACATAGCTAAAATTACGTAAAATGAAGCATCAAAATGTATATTTTGACAAGAAAAAAGTGCAGCACAGATTTTTAAAAGCACATAAATGCCTAAATTTCATTTATTTAATTTATTAACTGTAAACATAATATTCTATGAGCATTTGGTGATTAGAGTAAGAATGAGTATTTCACAAGCATTGTAACTTTGAAAATTGCTGTTTGGTTTTTTTTTTTTTATATGGCACACGTGCAACAAAAGAAAAAAATTAAAAGGGGAAAAATGCTTCAGGAATAGACATGGAATTTCTTTGGGGTTTTAGTTCATTTTTTTCCTACCATACTGTGTAACTGTACTCTAGTGTCACCCCACAAAACAATTCAGTGATTTCAAACAGTGTGGAGGTGTTGAGGATTTGTGAAAGAAAGAAAACCATCTTTGATTGTGATACCCTAAGTACAGTAAATGAGTATCATTTTCCTAGGAAGATCATTACGCAATTTCTCACACACAGCTATTAACCCCAGTAACAGCCATCTTAACCAAATTCACAGAAAAGTACAGAGGAGAGAGAAAAGCAGCTAAGCCGTATTTAAGCTATAGTATGCAGAATAGCAATGATATTAAAAAATAAATAAATATGGTCAAACCAGTGAGAGTCTTATAGATCTGAACCTGTATTCAGCAAAACCTCCTTGCCCTCTTTTCCACTATCGGCCTGAATACAGGTTACCCTTTGCATCCATATATTCTATTTATTCCCAAAACAAGAATTCTTCTGAGGTACAGACATAGCTTATAAGCAGAGCTTTGACACAGTCTCCCATCAAAGTAATACTTATTTACAACACTAATTTTATCTGAATAACAAGCAATATCACAATCTTTAAGACCAGCCTCTAAATGAAGTATGTTAAAGTCTCTGAAAATACATTGATCACACTTAAGCTACAGCTTAAGCCTTGCTTAGCAATTTATGGTGTTTATTTGATGTACTGTAAAGAATAAGAAAACTGTACTTAAACAACACATACTTTTCTATTAGAAGCATTTGATTTTCTAAACTGAGTGATGGTCAACCTAAAAATCCATTCTAGTATTAGTCTTGCAGGTCAGCTGTAAATTAGTTTAAAATGCCTCTTGAATAAAAATTAGATATTTTAATACAAATTGTTTTTCAGGTTTTCTTCTTAATATGCATTTTAAAATGTAGATGTCATTACAAGGCTTAAGCAAATCTGTATTAAGCCGTCTGTGACAAGACAGCTTGTGAGAAAACAAAATTTCCCGAATGATGCTAATGGGAATGACAATTTTCATTAAGATTCAAATTTATTACAAAGGCTTCTGGGGAGAAAAGCCTCACACGCTTTCTGGTTTCTGCTAGTTAAACACAGCGAAATTCTAGGTAAATTCTTTAGCATGACAGGTACAAATAACATATAAAACAAATTCCAGTAGATTAAGTTGACAGATATATATGCAGACAGCAATAGAGGATGCCCATAATCCTGGCTTGTACTACATGCGTTAGTCAGATGATTACATTCTAGCCAGTCCCATATCAAGAGTGTGCTTAAATGCCTCTCTGGATCAGAACTCAAGACCTTGCAGGGGGGAGGCTGTTGCTTTGTTTGATTGTTGGGTTTGGAATGTTTTGGGTTGTTTTAGGAAGGTCTTCAGGGTGCTATTTCCATATTTTTAACTAGATAAAACAAGTCTATTGTTATGTAAAATATTACATTCATTAACTTATTATAGCCTCAAAGAAAAATGACAAACACATGAACAACAAATCAAAACAAAAACAAATGCTTTCCAGTTGTTCTATTTCTATCCTGAAAGTTCTTCCATTTAGCTCTGTTTCCATTTATTCAATAATATCAGTAGTATGCAGGACTCTGGTATGAAAAATCAAGAAAACAATCAAGAAAAATAAGATATGCTTTAGTGCATTTATCTTTAAAGTGAATGCAAGACAGCGTTTAGTATCTGTTTGTAATTGTCTGTTAAAAAGAAATTTCAGTAACAGTGGTAGTGATGTGAATCACTTGGTACTGAATTGTACCGTCAATAGAATATACTTTTCCCATATACATAAAAAACTGCTTAAATGAGCTGAGAGGTTGTCAAGACATTTAGGTGTTTTGTTTTGTGGAGCTATTTCTTTCTACTATAAATCTAATATTTGTAACTGAGTTTTCCAATATAGCTTTCAGTTCAGCTACGCTAAAGAAGCAGCGACTGAAAATTCACAGGACTTTGCTGTTTATGTACTAGATGTTCTCCTTAATTTTTATAATTTCACTAGATGGATTGCTACCAGTGCCATGTTCTTGCAGGCTTATCGCCATGAATTTTATTTAAAGGCTGCAAGAATGAAGCTTTGCACAACATACGAACTAATGGCATTTTAGAAGTCAAAACACCTGTATAAGACATTTATTTTGGGTAAAACTCAAAGACATTCTTCTGTTATTCAAAAAGGAAAAAAAGTTACAGGAGCAACATATCAGTAAGAATTTAATATCTGGGACTAACAGAATATAGCCATTTGCTAAATGATACAATACCTGCCAAAATAAGCTATGTGCATCTCCTCTTATTAGTTCAATAGTGTCACCAATCTGAATATGCAATGGTGGACCATCTTGCGTCGCTGGCTGTGGTATTCCATTGTAGTTTCGAATTACTTGCATTTTTGGTAAACCTGAACAAACAAACAAAAGTCACCATATATTTTTAATGACAACTTATAAAATCTGAAGACCACAAAAGCAATCAATCTACAAAGAGACACTATGTCTTCCATATAACTAAGGCACTGAGACAATGCCTTAGTACTACACCGCATACGACTTAATAGGAAAGAGCTACTAAAAATAACATTTTTGTCCTCCCCTTCTTGGGGTAAAGTTGATTTCATGTCTATGGAGGCTCCTTCCTCTACACACACACACCTGGATCTACATAAAGTTCATTATTAAGGCTACCTTTGAAGGTCAAGTCAAAAATTATGATCTAATATTAAAGAAACCAATATGGATAACCTCATAAGCTTTAGACAACTATTACCAAAAAGCCTACTCTGACATGAAGGTATTCAAGAGAGTAAAGAATAACAATCTTTCTAGGCTGCTCATAGGACCTTTTTTATATTTTTTTATTTTTTACTTTAATTTTCATTTTTGACAATGTTTCTGGACACACAGAGCAAAGCCTGGGTCAATTTCAGGTTCTGATATGGAATTTCTTTTTTTTTTTTTTAATCAGCAAGCATTCCACAAAATTTTCCCCAAAAATTGTATAAAGAACTAAATCACTGGTTATAACTACTCAAGAGTCTCCACAAGTATGTATCAAATATGGGGCTGGATTTCAGCTGGAACAGAGAACTGTGGGTGCTGTACCTCCATGTTCATGTAACTATAATGGCATTTTTAAAAACCCACCTAAGCCATTATGGACAGCTAGAGTACTGCACTTGAAAAATGTACTGTTGTATTATTAGAATACTTGAAAACAAGCAAAGTATGCACCTACTCCATAATAAACATAGTAGACTTAAAATCTTTTAGAAAATTATTTTTTCCACTCTTCATACTATGAAGGAAAGCACTGTTTTAACACAACAGCTCTATTTTTAATTACTCTCCTCTATGTTTAAATAAAACTTCATGTAATCATTTCTGTGGTTTTAACTGCACATGGGATGTTAGAAACTGCTACAATTAAGTGGGTATTTCCATTTATAATCTTAAACAGAAACTTTTTGGTTAAGTAAGATTGGTAATAATGTATATTAATAAATACAAGTAAGAGTGAAACCATGCAAAGTCAAAGTAGTTGCGATGTCATATTTAACCAGTTTCTTGCTGGAGGGTCAGGATTAACAACAAAGGATCACCAGGCCTACAAAAGACATCCCTATTGCAAGAGCATTACTGTATTTTAGGTGGCAAGAAATACAAATGTCCATGACCTCCTTTAAATTGTATGAAACATAAAAGAGATCACTTTCAGTAATTACTAGTCTCTGTATTTAAGAATACTAATCCAAAGTGCTAATGAAACATTAAGTAAAATAATACAGCTCTTACTCAACCCAAATGACACCATAAGATTTACTATTTCTTCAAGTTATTTGGCATACTTAAAATGAGTACCTAATTATTAGTAAGCCTTTATTTCACTTTGGTAAACACTAGATGTTGCTTTATTTCTCAACTGAAGGCTGTCATGCTTTCAAATACTGATCCAGCATTAACAAATGTTGCATCTATTGCACAGCAAATAGAAGCAGTGCTGCACACAAATGCTTCTCAAAGCTGCCAACTTTGGTCTAATGCTAGGAAACTCCCTTATCACAACATAAATGATAGCTCTGTTTATGTGGATAAACAAACTGTAAGCATGCACTCATCTTACAGACATACTTTTAAGTCAAAACAAATGTACAAAAAATTATTCCTGCAATGAAACCTTGTAACAGGTGATTTAGTTTATCAAATTTTTATTGTGCAGATACAATATACTTAAAACACCAGAAAAACTATATACTTAAAACATCAAAAGATGATGAAGAAACACTCTCATGTACTTTCCTGTGGAAATCCTGGGGATTTTTTATAGATAACATACGGGTGAAATTAGTAATCATAAAATAACTTCTTCCTTCTATTTCACTGCTAATTACAATTATCCACACCAGGAGAACATGGGAAAAATATTGTGCTGTGTCATCTAGCAGAATTTTTCAAGAGGTAATGCAGAATTAATCATGTTAAAACATACCATGCCTACAATACTTGTGTATAAATCAATATGCTTAATTCTGTACAATCCTACAGCATTTTGATTACAAAATTCCCCACAGTAGATATAATGTTGAAAGAGTTGATCTAATGCCTCTTGACATCACTAGAAATAATCCTATTCATTTAAACAGGCTTTTGGATTAGTCTTAAGAAAGATCACTACCATACTTCAGATCCATTCTTAAAACTTCTTTGCCATAATGCCTACAGAAACTGGTATATCTACAATGCTGTCATGCTACAGCTGCTCTCCACTACGGAAACAAACAAATCTTATTCTTCCACAGGAATTTTACTATCAACATTTATCTAATTGTTTTCTTGGGTCTACTTAGGAGTTCTTTTTGTTTGGTGTTGTCTTTGCTATGAATACACACTGCCTAGCACAATGGATACACACTATCACCAGACCCACATAAATCAGCATCTGGAATAACAAGGATACATGGCTAGAATAACCATACACTGCAATAATTCAGAATAACATTGTGATTTCATTAATTCATTCACTTTAGTAATGGTATGGTGCACCAGCTTCATGTCACTGACCAAAGAGATACATGTATTAACAAGGGAAAATATTTCTGGTGCTAATTATCTAAGCACGTATTAGATTTGACTCAGATTCTGAAAAGTTCTTTGGACCTCGAAGTATAACAACTGAAAGTAAATTCACTCTCCAACAACAGAAGTGTCTGAGTCACAGAGAATATATTAATTTCAACATCAGCAATACAAGACATGCACAGACAGCCTGTATATTGATCAAAGATACAAGAGCAGTGAATGTGCAACTCGTGTGTTTTAGTCATTGTATAAAAATATCATCAAAAGGACCTGTCCTTACATGATTTGAAACACTTTTAAAAAATGAGTTCTTTTCAGGAACAAAAGACTAGATGTCATCATTGAATCAATCAAACAAATACATCCTACACTGGAACGGCTACGTGTATAAATGTTCTTCTTTCCCTTATATCACCACATAGCACAGACGATACAAATGGGGTACAGAAAAGTTAATGAATTGAGTTAGAGTCAAAAAGCTCCAAACAGAATACTCAACTTCCTTTTCACAGTAGAATTACAGATTTTATAATAATAGCTCAGAAACAGTTTAGCAGATTAACAGTGAGATGGTGTACATTTAATTGCACAGCCTTTCACCTCCTAACCTATACAAAGCATAGGGGTATGGATGGATCAAGTCCCATATATCTTTATCACAGGAATCAGGTCATACAATCTTCCAGCTGTTTAGCAAGCTATCCTAAAACTACTTTTTTTATTTTAGAACTTTATTCTCTAAAATTTAGAATCTTCTACTTTCTAGTGTAAATTCGATCATGGCTAACTTAAGCCCATGTAGAGGCAGCAGCCTGAACAGTTCTTTTCCTTGTCAGCATTAATTTTTAGAATGCAGTTATAGAGAGCAATCATGCCCCCTTTAGCTTTCATTTTGCTACGCTAAATGAGCCAAGTTCTTTCATCCTTCTCTCATAACAAATCAAGTTCTCTGAGGCAGTATACCAACTGCTTTACTGAAGTTCAGACAGACAAGATCTAGAATACTTTGTCTATCCTGAAATATCATTCTTCATTAGCACATGGATCCACCACAAATATACACGTTAAGATTCCTGAGTACTTGCTGTAATGTAACAATGCAGACAAAAACAAAAAAAAATGTCATATGTTACAGAAACCTGGAATGTTTTAAGTGTAATTATGGATTATTCATGACAGAAACAGTATACAAACATGCATTTGTGACTAAAATGTGCAGTATGATAAGTACTAGAGACAGTGCCATTACCATGTATATAGCTGCAGTACTGACAACTGCAGAAAACTGGAAACCTATCTGGCACAAAAATGTTATTCATGAGTATATTTAAAAGAAGATAAAATTCCAACACAATAGACAAGGTCAAGATTTCAGTCATGCGTTATTATAATTAATGATAAAAATCCCATTGACTTCTACGAGGTCAGATTTCCACATGACTAAAAGCTTTTGTCAGGGAACTACCTAATGTAAAGATGCAAAACCAGCCTGGCAGTTTCCAACCTTGAGATCAAAAAGCAAATGGATCCAGTTATTCCACCATTGAAGGGCTGAAATATATTTCACTTGAAAAGCAAGAAAATCCCCAGATTCCCAGAAAAGTCTTCATAGCCAAGCTCTTGGTCACAGACCTAACACAAATTGACGATCTAAATTGTAGCTGTTGAGAAAAACAGAAAGCATACTACAGTCCGGTTTACAAATGCTCAATTTGGCTACATTACAAAAAAAAAACTATATATATATGTGTGTATGTATATATATATATATATATAACTAAAAAAACACCAAACCAAAATAAAAAACCCACCACACACCAAAAAAAACACCAAATAAACAACCTTTCATAAATCAAGTCATGCATTTGAGTATTTAATCTCATAGCTAAGTCAAAGAAGGTTATATTTTAAAATTAGCATAGTACATGAGTTAGAACACCCATTACATATGAAATGATAACAACATACAAGTAACTTGTATCCCTTACAGCAGTTCTGCATTTATGAATGGCACTGAATGACCCTCACAGTTTCATGCAGAAATTCAAAAATGTTATTTTTTGCTATTAACATGCAGAATGCATGCCCTATGGTGACTTCTATCTGTCAAAATTGACTCCAGCATCTGTTATTTCCAAGCAATGGGGAACATGGTTTATGCATTGGGCAGAGATTATTTTAACATACAGAATAATGATATAGCATATAGGAAAGCAGGGTTCAAAGGTAAATTTGTGGATATACTGTATATCATTAGCATATAAATACAAAACAGCTTTGTCTACATTAAAAATTCATTCCTAGTTAATATGAGACTTGAAGAAAG